AAATTATGACCCATTTTTGTCATAATGTTCGTATTTGCTCATTTTTTCGACTGAAAATAACACACTTTTCTCACGTGGGCATATTTTCAAGGGCAAAATCGAAAAACACACTTGATTTCCCTCCTAAAGCAAAAGTACACCGAACCACCACCCTCTTTTCACCTTTCTCCCTCAAATTACAGCCATAAGAAACCCCCTAATTCTCTGTCTTCGAGCAGGCGATGAATGAGCACTAAACACTAGAGGGCCACAATCCAATCCTGGGTTTTTCCCAACCTTTTCGAAACCGCCGACACGCAAGTATTGGTATAGCCTCAGGAAAAAAAGGTTAGATGGAGAATTTCTTGAATGTACGTCTTCCCAGCAGGGTCGTCATCGTGGCTAGTAGCTTTAACAATCACTACTTCTAGCTTAGGGACCATGTTGCTTGCTACTTTGGTGATTCCTATGCTGGTTTGGTCCTTCACTGTCCCGATCGCCTTTCGAATCGTACTAGGCGCCTTGATTCGAAGCATTTGACGGTTCGAAAGCTGAGAATCTCAACTCAAGACGCAAAAACTAAAAAGAAAAACTTATTACTATCAAACGGGTGGAAGAAAGGAAAGAAATGGAATGATGATTTCTGGGAGAACCCAGAGCTGATCTAGCTGAAATGGAAATGGGGTTTTTGAGTTTGGAGTAACAGGTTTGTTGCTGCAATTTCTCCCTCTTTTGTTCTAGATTTGCTACAAGATTTGAGTTTCGGTAGGTATGTGTATGTGTGGTGATGGAGAGGGGGATTTGGGGAGGGATATGGATGGGTTTTAGAAGGGAGATTCTGAAACGGGAGACTCCTCAGATTATACCTATTAGTTAAGGGATGTCGAGAATTAGAGGGTTTCTTGTGGCCATAATTTGAGGGGGAAGGTGAAAAGAGGGGTGGTGGTCTAGTGTACTTTTATTTTAGAATAGAAATCAAGTGTGTTTTTCAGTTTTGCCCTTGAAAATATGGCCACGTGAGAGATGCGTGCTATTTTTAGTAGGAGAAATTAGCAAATACAAACATTAGGACGAAAATGGATTATAATTTATATGTTAGGGACTATTCTGGTTTATTTTAAATGTTATGGACTAAAAAAGTTTTTTATGTAAATGTTAAGGACCAATTTGGCAAATTTTCCTAAATTATAGAAAGAAAGTGATTATAGAAAATAATGTGTAACTATTTTTTTGGGTAAATTCTAGATTTTAAATTTTTTTATTATTAAGAGATCTACAAGAGAGATATAAAAAGTTAAAAAAAAATAACAACTGAACCAAAAATAGATCAACATAAAAAATGTTAAATAATTTTGATTATTCAGAATCAAAATTTATAATGAGATACATTAACCAAACGAGAATAGAGCATGCACCTATGAGTATTAATATATGTACATTTTTGTTGATCCATTGCGGAATTGGTATGCTCTGGTTATTGAAAAAATCAAATTGATTGCTTGTCATAATCAATTTTTTGTAAAATCTACAGCAGATGAGAACGAGAACGAAGCTCTAAAATGAACAAAGTAAACTAATGGTAATTTAAATTACAAAACCTCCTGAACAAATAAAGTAATGGTTGAATTATAAATAAGACAACGAAACTATTAATTTTTAAAAAATCACAAGCGATGAGAAGTGATTAAGGTTAGGGGTGAGCATTGAATTCGACATTGATAATTCGAAAGTTTGAATTCAAAATTTTTTGAAATTTTGGTATCAGAGAATCTGACCGAATTTAATTTCGAATTCACCAATTCTGAATTCGAATTCATACCAAATTCAATTCGAAATTCGGTAAATTCCGATTTCACCGAATTCGGAAAAATTTATATATTATTATATAATATAAATTTTATTATATAATATAAAATTTATAATATTATATTATATTATATTTTTTAAATTTTATATTACATATATAATATATATATTAAAAACGAATTTAAAATCGAAATCGGTATTTGAATTCTAATTTAGAATGGTGAATTCAAAATTGAAAATTCCGATTTGGAAAACTCCATTACCAAATTTGAACCAAATTCAAAATATATGAATTCGGAATACCCGAATTCAATTCCGATTTTTGATTTACCAATTTCAAAAATTTCGAATTCAATTCGAATTGAGTCAATAAATCAGAATTTTTCGATTTTGCACACCCCTAATTAAGGCTCATTTGCTCATTTTTACTTTTAGTTTTTTTCTTTTTTTTTTTTGCTTTGAATTTGAAATGTTGGTTATGAAAAGTTAAAGTAATTATGGAAAATGATCAAAATTAATTTAAGTTATTGTTTGGTAGAATCTGAATTTTTTTTTGTTATTAAAAATCTAAAATCTATATGCAAAAGCAAATGAAAACACTAATTGTTCAAAACCATAGTATATCTAACTAGGCGAAACAATCAAGCGAAAAAGGGTGAAGGTATCTATGGTTGGGATTGGAATTTGTGAGACATAAGCCTCCAAGATTAAAGCAGGAGGAAAAAATGAGTTAAATTAAAGGGAGAATTAGTGCACAAAATGGACAAGAAAACCAATAACATATCAAACTTCCTAGCAAAATAGGTTCATTAGCTACCTTGTCGTCCCAAAATACTAAATTACTACTGAAAAAGCAGAATAAAATATGTAATATGTTTATATGTAATATGTTTATTTGCTTGTTCTTACTTTTCAATCTTTAAGGTGAGAATGAAACTAATCACTAACATTGCCTACGTATAGAGGTGGCAATTTGTCCCAAGTCCCAATGGGTTACCCATGCCCATTAAGACTTTGTGCGGGATGGGTATTGGAATTTGATATTGTGTTTAAAATGGGACAAATCCCAATTGTACCCATTAATTGATGGGAAATTTTGGAAAATGCTTGGGTACCCATTGGGCTCAAATAGTAAGGGCTCCGTTTGAATTAACTATTTTTGAGGGGTGTTTTTGAAATATTTTATTGTATTAGTGTATATGAAAAATTTTTACTATAAATTTTTTTTAAAATATTTGATATACTAATATGGATGAGATGTTTTTTGAGTTATTGTATATTACTGTAACATTGTATTTGAAAAACTTATTTTTTGAAAAAATAGTCAATCCAAACGGAGTCTTAGATTCAAAAATTATCTTTAACAATTTTTATAGTCATGATTGTATATCTATCTTTTCCTTTATTTATTAATCCAATTTTTGGTGATAATCCTGAGTATAAAGCACTTGCATGTTTATTTAATAAAACTAAAAGAAATTTAATAAATCAAAAATATTAAAATTATATAAAAAAATAAAAAATAAATTAAAGGAAAAAAATATATAGAAAATAAATTTAGGTATTGGGCGGGATCAATCTAAACCCATCCCAAAGTGATCCCGCCCAAGTTAGTCCCAAAAACAAAAACAAAGAAATTCAACTCGAAGTACTCCAAATAAGAAGTTAGCAATACATCATAGCACTTGATCACCCAAAACAAAGTAAAACTTTATGTGAATGTATGTGTGTCTGTGTGTAAAGCTGTGAAGTTTGAAAATTAACACTAAATAGAGGCATCATAATACACTCACAGCATGAAAGGCCTTCTTAATCTCCTCTGTGGTAACATTTCTAGAGACCCCATAGGAATCTCTTTCCGTGGCATTGGAAGGTCCTGCGAATTAATTTGCATGCAGTAGAATCAGAAACATAACACAATTTGGCACAAAAATCTCCACAGAATCAAGGCAACTTTTCACTTTAAATAAAAGAGAAAACCTGTGGCATGAATGAAGCGCTTGAACAATAATAGCCCCCATTAGGAACAAAATCAGCAGGGAACAATAAAATCCTGCAACTGCACAAATCTGAGGAAACATAACTTCAGCGTTAAGACAGCTTACATTTTTACAATACAACTATAGATTTATGTATACAATTTATCTGCACATCTGCTACTTATGGATTCCATACTTAAGACAACTCAAATAAGAAGTAGAAATGCAAACCATGTGGGGAATGCTTCACAGACACATTACCCAACAGTCACTGCAACAAATACATACACATTCACATATTACAGTCAAACAAGAGGATACGAACACACACATATAAGTACACCAAAACACAAGGTGAACAGAGATGCCAGCCTTGCCCTATACTAAACCAAATCAAGGCAAATTAACAAATGGCAACATACAGGCAAAGCCACACCATTCGCTTTATTGAGGGTTTTATCACAAGAACTCAAATTCAAGTTCAGTTGAAAACAGCAACAGCATAACGTCCAAAAGCAGTGAACCATATTTTAGACTGCTGTCGACATCTTGGTAGCTTTGAGATAGCTAACCGACTACATTGTGCCTGTTTCATGCGTAGCTGCCAACTAAAGAACGTGCTACCCATGCCAGATAAATGTCTGAATTGCTCTCTTTTTGGCAAAAGCACATATTCTGAACTCTTTTCTCATTTTCATTTCGGAGATTTGTTGATAGAATTGTTTAAATCTTCTCCTCTGATGCCAGAAATGTTGCAGCAAAGTTTCCCCTTCGTTCATGTTTTTCACTCTTTGTCGTAAGGATTTCTGGAAGAATTTTGGCTTCCATTTATGTCCCATCCGTTAATCCTGGTATAACTTATCTCCAAATTCTGGTTTTTCTGATTCGGGATCGAATCTTCTGCTCCGCAATATCTTTTTGCATCAGTAATCTGAATTTGTTTGTGAACGAGTTCATGGTAATGCTACAAGCTTGCTTGTTCCATTAGCAATTTCTTTTTGCCTTCTTATTAGCGATTTCTCTTTTTCTTCTCTTCTTTTTCCGCCAGCTAGTTGGGTTTTGGGGACAGGGGTTGAGGTTGGTGTGTGTATCAAACTACCAGCTTCACAACACCAAGTCAAGTATTCTGTCTCCCCTGCGAGAATTGATTTTGTTCATGGGTGACGAATTTTGCTTAAACATCAACGGCGGGAAGGGGGACATATTCTTTCTCCCCCTTCCCGGATAAACAAAGAAAGCTTAAAATTTTTTTCATGCTGCCACATAATATCCAAAGCTGATGGAAGCCAATAATTCTGAATAACATCTCATAACACACATGGTTTAGTTGCATAATTTACTTATCTGCTAGCACACAACTGCCTGTTTCTCATCAGAGTATTTTATTCTGCTATAGCTGGTGCATCGTTGATCTTAGTAGTAGACTTAGACAAATCATATGCAGGAACCCGTGAATCGAATTGACAGTGTTACACTTCAATTTGATACAACTGCTATCAGCTTCTCACGCATACCTATCATGTGCTTGAACACTTTGTCGTGAGGTGGCATTAATTCTTTCATGACTGGATCTTCAAGGACGTAATCAATCCATGCAGCGAGCACAGGCATACTTTGCTGATCAATGAGTTGTATCTTTAAAGCTTCCTGCTCGATTCTAGCCAAGTATGCAATCCAGCCAATAGCAACATCTGCAAAACCTATCTTCGTGCCTCCAAAACAGCGTTTCCCATCCAGTCCACTTTCTAGGGTCTTCAGATGTTCACGAGCTTCTCTTACACCCTTTTCCAGCTCCTCCCCGACTTTGGAGATTGTTCCTACCAGTGCAGGCACACACTGGAAAGAAAAGATTCAAAAAAAAAAAAAAAAGGAGCTCTGTAAATGAAATCAACTTCAGCAATGTGTGAACTTGGAATCTTTACAGGGAACATTAAATATTCTTTCTATATTGACTCGCAAGTTGCGATATAAAAAACTGATATATGATACAACCTGTATTATTAAGCTGGTTGCTTCTAGTGGATTAGTCTCATGATGGATATAAGATTACAAACGTTGACACATAATTACAGGATAAATACGACATCAATGCCACCCAATTGGTGACCAGCTGCTTTAATCTGTATATGGCTGAAAGCATTCACTTAACTTCCACTAACAGGGAGAGAAAAATTCACACCAAATTAACCTTCAAGCCCAAAACTCATCACTAAATTAATCAATTTGATTGCTCAAATACTCAAAGAGAGATACTTTCGGGACAGATCTCATTGCCTCTCGGACTAAGACTTTAAGTTAGATACTCACAAATCTCACTTGGGAGACAAAACTTCATAAAGCTGGTATTAAATTGCTTTGTGATCACAGTATGCTTAAAATTTGCCTGAAATATACATCACAGCAAGGGAAAAATCTCTGGACTACTCAGTCATCCTTGCGCTCCAACTAAAATATTAGTATTCATATTTTCTACTGTAAACAGTACGAATTGTTGTGATCTGCAGAATTATGCCTTCTTACCTTCTCATCAACAAATTTGGCCCAAAAGCGCGATCTAGCTCTTTCATAAGGATCTTCAGGGAGGAGTGGATTATGCTTCCAAACTTCATCGATATACTCCAGTATTACGAGGGATTCTGATATTGATTTCCCGTTGTGCAGCAGAACTGGAATCTTCTTATAAACAGGATTGCTCTGCAAGAGCAGGGGGCTCTTGTTTCCAAGATCTTCTTCTTGGTACTCATATTCAATGCCTTTGAGTTTCAACGCCGACCTAACCCTGAGTGCAAAAGGGCTTCCCCAGTATCCCAGCAATTTGACACCCTCTCCTGCCATTCTCGAACCTAAAGCTTAGTGGCAAGCAAAGCTTCTCAGTCTATCTCAGTAGTGTTACGCTGCAATTTTTTTACTTGGTTCACCCACCTAATAACAATATCCCTGCAATTTTAAAGGCTTGACAAGAAGACTCAAAATGATCCTCCCTGTTTTAGTGCTGACCAAATAGGAGAATATAAGCCAAAAACTTCTTGTGATGTAACCAAAAGATGTGGACGGGATGACTTCCAATAAGCGAATAGGTAAAAGTCAAGTCATCATATTTCCGACAATTGCCGGGTCAAATAAGCCATTCATTTTTTTTTTCTGCCAAATGGTAGAAACACACACACACACGCACCCATGTACACTCAATGACGCAGGAAGCATCGAGAAACCGGCTCAACAAGAGCGATCTAAGGGACTCACAGAGAAATCCTATCTAGCTAATTGGTGATAGAAAGGACTTTTCATGAATCTTAAATTCGGAGTAAAGATCTCACGATCTTTCGATGCGGGATGGTGCAAACCCAATCCCTCCACGCACACCCTTGCAGAAGAATCTGATTTTTTTCTGCCAAATGGTAGAAACACACACACACACCCATATACACACAATGACGTAGGAAGCATCGAGAAACTAGCCCAACAAAAGCAATAGGGATAATTGCATAAATCTCCCCTGAGGTTTCTGACATTTGCACTAATCTCCCTTGTGATTTGAAAAATTACACCGACCTCCCTTGAGGTTACTAATCCTTTGCAAATTTAGTCCAAACAATTAAAATATTATTTTAAGAAGTGAAATTAGAATTTTATACCAGATTTGCCCTTTGTGCTACATATCCAATGAATAACAAAGTATTATAAATCAATTAACAATTAATAAATTTTAAGAAGTATAATTTATGGACAAACACGCATTACTCATTTAAAGTACCAACTCTTTACGAGTATTTTACTTTCAAATATTTAATTTATGATAAATGTATCAATATTTGTAAGTAAAATTCAAAAATTGTTATAGTAATATTCTTGCAAAAAGAAAATCGATAGGTTATTTATTTAATATAAATTAAATATTTTTAAAAAATAAAATAAAATGGCCTATAAAGTATTAATTTTTTATGGCTTTCATCCATTACACGAGTAAAGTATTCGTTCTTTATGTGCATTTTATTCTGAATCATTTAATTTATGTTAAATACATAAATATTTGTAACTAAAATTGAAAAAGTGTTATATTAATATTTTTACTGAAGAGAGATTGGTAGGTTTTGTATTTTAAAAAAATTAAATATTTGAAAGTAAATACAAATCTGTATTTGAGAATAAATATTTGTATTAAATTAAATGTTTGAAAATAAAATACCCTTAAAGAACCGGTACTTTAAATAGTTACCGACTCTTTATAGGTAAACACGCATTACTCATTTAAAGTACCGGTTTTTTAGGAATATTTTACTTTCAAACATTTAATTTATGATAATTATATAAATGTTTGTTAGTAAAATTCAAAAAGTGTTACAGTAATATTCTTGCAAAAAGGAAATCGGTAGGTTATTTATTTAATATAAATTAAATTTTTTTTTAAAAATGACCCATAAAGTATTAATTTTTTATGATTTTCATCCATTACATGAGTAAAGTATTGGCTCTTTATGGGTATTTTATTTTGAATCATTTAATTTATGTTAAATACATAAATGTTTGTAACTAAAATTGAAAAAGTATTATATTAATATTTTTACGAAAGAGAAATTGGTAGTTTTTGTATTTAACAAAAATTAAATATTTGAAAGTAAATACAAATATGTATTTGAGCGTAAATATTTGTATTAAATTAAATGTTTGAAAATAAAATACCCATAAAGAGCCGATACTCTAAATAGGTAATGCATATTTGTGTATAAAATATACACCTTAAAGTTTATTAATTGTTAATTGATTTGTAGTATTTTGTCATTCATTGGACACGTAGTACAAAGGACAAATTTGGTAAAAAATTCTAATTTCACTCCCTAAAATAATATTTTAATCGTTTGGGCTGAATTTACAAAGGATTAGTAACCTCAGGGGAGGTCAGTGTAATTTTTCAAACCACAGGGGAGGTCAGTGCAAATGTCAGAAACCTCAAGGGAGGTTTCTCCAATTATCCCAAAGCAATATAAGGGAGACATTCATTTGATTGCTCAGATTTTCTTAATTTCGCACAAGATGTCGCTATGTGACCGTACTTTTGAAAGTTCATGTCCCAGCAGATATTATTGTGCCCCTCAATACTGAGACTGATTGCTGATTTATGAATTTCAGGTAGGCCCCCCGGAAAATAACTAGGGACTAATTTAATTTAATGGAAATTAGGGACTATATTTGGGGGAAAAAAATCTACCAGTAGTTTAGCCAAAAGACTAGGCTTTCTGATGAGATTGGAACTATGGGGTGGCATGCTCGTGGTGACTGGTCTCGAGCAACGGTTCATGGCGCCATCCATGTTAACCCCAACAGGGGCGATACATATCCATTTCCTAAGCCTCATGCAGAAGTGCCCATCATCTAATGTCTGCTTCTTGTTTTGTTTTTGGTTATAAAACTCGAATGCTACAATATTTTTGCACGTACGTTGGCTTGAATAAATCAGAAAACAATTTATAGGTAATTTCACGTTTAAGTTTGATGATGTTTTAATGCAGGAGAATGGCGGAAGAGAAGAGTGATGTAATGGAATCCTGAGGCCCAAACAATTCCGATGCTTTCTTGGTGATCTTTATCCATGCTCAAAACCAGGTATCTGGCCAGGAATTTTTGGAATTTCTCTTATTTTGTGTATTAGTGAGGACGAGGTTAACCGCTTAAAGTGCTTAGGAATATCCAATTCTTGGCCGAAGCACGTCTCTTTCATCCAAACTTCTACTTTCTTCATCATTGACTGTAACAGAGAACAGAATGGAAAAAATAAGAAAGGAATCATTTTCTGCTTGCTTCTCAGTCACCACCACAACATTAGTACCTGCTCGGCTAGAAAGTTCCTCTGGAACCCACATTTTGTTTTTTCTTACTTTCCTATTGCCCCCTCAAAGAAACCTAAAAGTTCTGTGACCCCAAACGAACCAAGATCTTAGCACTAGGAATCAAGCTTCCATCTACAAACTCATAATAGGCAAAACTGAGCCATTCATAGCAGTCAGCTAGAGCTGTTGAGCATGCTAAATTACAGAAGTGCTGATCGCTGCTGCAGCTGTTCCTACTGGTAGAAAATCATGACATTTAAGCCTTGAACACCTCAAGAAGCTCTGACACTATGACAGAGACTTCAGCGCTTGTGAAACATTTTGGGTGATTCGATCATGTATTGGCTCCTGCACGAACACATTCAAGTCATATCGGGATTAATCTAGTAACCTTGAGATAACAAATCAGTCATTATGATTTTACCTTTGTTGTAGGTATTTCAAAACTTGAATTTGTTATTGTCTCAAACAAGAATATATATCTGTCATTAGAAGGAAATATCAGTAATATGTGTTCACAGCTAATAAACTCTGCCAATGTCTTCACTCCATCGAGAAAAACTAATAAGAAAAGACTATATATGCCATTATGAGCCAAAAATACAAAAAGGTGAATGAATGAATAACACACCGCCAAGCTAATTCAGAAACCAGTTCTTCTGGAGCATCAGGCAAGACCTAAGCAAGGATATCACCATTATCAATTCTGATGAGTAACTTCAGTGGGAATAGCCATTCGAATGATACACAGAAAACTAATTTAAATAGAATAACCTTATCTTCATATGGGTTGCAATGATCATTGAACCATAGCCTCAAGAACTCCTGGGAAAGGTTTAGTATTAAAATATGGGAGTCAGAATGCTGTAACATATCCAAGAGTAACAGTATAATCTTGTATTAAAGAAAAAGCAAGTTACACACGCGACATATATATATAGGCACACTTGATTTGGGACAAATGACTTCTTCTATTATTGGAATGTTGATTTTGCTTTTCGGTTTCTCGCTTTCCTGAGATTTTGCTTTTAATTCCAACCTTTTTCCCCTCTCAAGGCATTACCTTATCGACATTTTCTGGTTCAAGGCCATTCCAAAAGCGTTCTTGATAAGAATGACCAATCCAATATCTACTCGAGTCTGGTGTATGCACCTTCAAAAAAAAATCAGAACACAAGATAGTGTTATAATTACACATGGAAATGTGTGTGAGGGAGTATAAGAGCGAAAGAGATACACAGGACACACACAAACACGAGCACTTTCACAAGCAGAGAGAGAGGGAGAGAGAGAGATTATCATTTACCTCATCAACTAGAAGCACAGTACCATCAGGTGCTTTACCAAATTCATACTTGGTGTCTACCAATACGAGGCCATGTTTCATTGCCACCTGCTGCAGTTAATTATGGAAAAAAATGGATAAGGAAAGGAGAATTTATATACCAATGGTAGCTCCACTTCACCACCCCTTGATCATTCTTGCATTTTCTCAAATACTCCCTAGTTTGAACAAATGATCACAATGCTTAGAATTCCTAAGGAGGCAGTTCTTCTAATAAATATCATGGAGTAACTGCTTCTCCATCATCATTAAATTAGAATTAGAAAAACTGCCTAATTACACGACTTCAACATGATTAACCCTAAGTTGCACACAGAAGGCTCATGTCAACTTGTGTAACTGATATCAACATCATCAGATGAAGAATAATTTTAATACCAATTTGAATGGCATTCTGCTGCTATAGTGGACTGATGTCCCTAGCAAATGTTTCCAGAAAACTAAACAAATGAAGAAAGCATGAGTATGTACCATGCCACAACCAAAAAAAACTACATGAAAATAAAAAAGCAAATTTCCCTTAAGAAAAGCCAAAACTTAACCACCTGACCATATTGAAATAACTGTAGTGCCCTCTTACTTGCTTCCTCGTAATCTGCTCTAGACATTAAACCACGCTGAATTATCTGAGATGCAAAATTTTTAGCACAAATAAGCAGTATGATCTATTATCTGGTTACGACTAAAGATAAGGAAAACAAACAATGCTCATTAATATGTTGCCCAAATTGAGGGCAAAACTGGAATTTTTTTTCACAATGTCCCACACAACATTAATAGCAGGCGCATTGTACAGATAAAATAGAACTTCCATCTGTAGGGTGCTCAACATCAGATAGACCCTTTTTTATGTATAGCAAGGCAATTCACTCAAATGCAATTGGCCATTATTGTCTCTACTTTATTACACTAGAAATCAACAGAATATATACACATGCCTAATGAATGACAAGTTCTATTTAGTAAATGAAAACCTCATCCGGAGTTACAGGAACATCATGATCTGCAGCTTTAGTAGTTGGTGTGAGAATATTTTCTGGTAGCTTTTGGTTTTTCACCATTCCTGTTATACGTTCATTGAAGAATCATAAAAACCAGAAGTTGCACAAAAGATGGAATTGACACAGTAAGTAACACATCGCACCATCAGGAAGTACATTGCCACAGTAATTCCGAACTCCTTTTTTGTAGACAGTCCACAATGATGTATCAGTGCTTCCAGTCACATAACCCCTAACTAGAAATAGAAAACAATCAACAAGTGAATTAGTTTGTGACTCACTATGGAAATGAGAGCCACTGCAATTCAAAGACAACCACATAGTTTCATACTGCTACACAAACACGTAGTTGGAGACAGAAAAATTTGCAGAATATTGCATATAAGGAAAAAAAATGTGCAGAAGCTAAAAGTAAGATTCATAGAAACAGTTTAAAGAGTGGCATGCTATTATTGTGACTAATATCTCACCAACAAATTCAACAGGAAATACTGAACATTTCTTTGCGATGGTCACATTCTTGTCTGGTGCAGATACAACTGCATTTGGAACAATGTGCTGAGTTTTATTAAACCACCTCAAACTTGTCTCATTAAGCACCTGCCGCCAAACACTCATTAGCCTCAACCAATAATACGTATTCTTTTGCTTTAATCAGAATCTTTTCTGTATGTTTAGAATCATGTACCTGCCCCTTGAAGGGGATTGAAGCAAGAACTCTGTCAAATGCACTTTGCCGATCTGTTGTTACCAGCACAAGATAATTTCCTCCATCATAAATGTCCCTGACCTTCAAAGTGAGTCAAATGATCATTTGAGTATCAGCTATACGAAGAAACTAGAGAGCAACTATGTTATCAGAGAATCCACTGATTCTACCATTTCACACCCCCCCCCTCCCCAAAAAAAAACAATCCAGCAAAGCATTCCCCCCCTTGCTCCCCCGGCCCCCCAGGAGGCCAGCCGCTAATGAAGTGTTCAACAGGGTTAAACTATCTTTACTCTCACTCGCAGCAACCAACACACAAAATAAAATTTTTAAAAAAAAAAGTCTTCGCAGCTCTCCCAAACTAATGACAAACTTTTCCTACTCCCTTTTCCAACATTCATCAAATAACTGAACTAAGCATAGCAGCAGAGACAAGAAGTAAGATATATGATTATATGCCTCATAAAGAATACAAAGTCCATCGAGACACAAAAAACACAAAAAAGTACAATTCAAAAAAATAAAGAACCACAAGATTACCCTAAACAAAAAATCGAGTAAAGAAAGGATTTTGGAAACAATTACCTTGCCTCTGGTTTTGGATTTAAGACCAGGAACTGTTAAATCAAGATGGGTTACAGATAAACAATTGCTTAATGAGCTCTGGATAGCATTCAAGACTTCGTTTCTGCGTTCACTGGTTTTCAAGGCCTCAAGAGAAAGCGGCGGTTGGTGCTGCTGGCTTGATGACATTGATGCAGAGATACAAATTGACGGAGGAAGGTACTTCTTGGATTTTGTTAGGATGAATTTACGCAAAGAAGATGACGAGAGGGATGAAGGGTTTGGATGGCTGATTGGTATGCATTTTGGCGTGAGGATTTTGGGAGGGTTTAGAGCTCCTCCTATACAGTTCTGGGCCATTTTCATTTCCAAAGCGACAGAACTCCGAAGTCTCAAGCTTCTTTTCTTTGGAGGGGGTTCCGTTTTCAAACAGGTCTGCAATAATTGAGGCAAACCCCGGGAATTAATAGCAGTCTGGGACACCGGGCGCTGCGTCAAGCCCCAGACAAGAGGGTGCAGCCGTGCAGGTATGTCAGGATTCAGGATCTTGGTTGTGTGTTTGATTAAAGGAAGGATTAATCAGGAGGTACGATTAGTGTAGCCATGGAATGTAGGGACACAAGGTGCATGTACGATTGTTGAACCTATGGATGTATCCTTCTTGTAGTTACTATAAATTTTGTACGAGTAAATTATAGAAAGAAAGTGATTATAGTATAGAAAATACGTAAAGAGTAACTATTTTTTTGGGTAAATTCCAGATTTTAATTTTTTATTATTAAGAGATCTACAAGAGAAATATAAAAAGAAAAAGAACCAAAAATAGATCAACATAAAAAATGTTAAATAATTTTGATTATTCAGAATCAAAATTTATAATGAGGTACATTAATCAAACGAGAATAGAGCATGCATCTATGAGTATGATCCATTGCGGAATTGGTATGCTCTAGTTATTGAAATAATCAAATTGATTGATTGTCATAATAAAACAAAAAAATTTTTTTGTAAAATCTACAGCAAACGAGGATAAAGCTCTAAAATGAATAGAGTAACTAATGGTAATTTAAATTACAAAACCTCCTGAACAAATAAAGTAATTGTTGAATTATAAATAAGACAACTAAACTATCAATTTTTAAAAATTCACAAGGGATGAGAAGTGATTAAGGTTCATTTGCTCATTTTTACCTTTAGTTTTTTTCTTTTTTTTTTTGCTTTGAAATGTTGGTTATGAAAAATTAAAGTAATTATAGTAAATAATCAAAATTAATCTAAGTTATTGTTTGGTAGAATCTGAAAATTTTTTTGTTATTAAAAATCTAAAATCTATATGCAAAAGCAAATGAAAACACCAATTGTTCAAAACCATAGTGTATCTAATTAGGCAAAACAATCAATCGAAAAAGGTGTCTATGGTTGGGATTGGAATTTGTGAGACTTAAAGCCTCCAAAATTAAAGCAAGAGGAAAACATGAATTAAATTAAAGGGTGCACAAAATGGACAAGAAACCAATAACATATCATAACTTCCTAGAGCAAATTATCTGGTTGGCTATTAAACTTTTGCCATCGTTCAGTTTTGGTCACTCAACTATTAAAAGTCTAGTTTTGACCACTGAAATATATAAAGTTAAGACGGGAGGCTATTCTGTTATATTTGGCCGTTAAGTTTACCAATATGTCTGTTTGCGTGATTTTCAAGATAAAAGTTATGGTCAATTTAGGAAGTTCAAAATCTTCTCTCAAAAATTGTCCCTCTTCCTCCTCCTCCTCATCAAATCTTCGTCAGACCCTTTTCATCCTCAAATCTTCCCTTCACCGTTTCATTACTCTCTCCGTCAGTTTCCACCGACTTCGTTGCTGAATCAATAATTGAAATCTTCCTATAATCTCTACTCACTTTATCATTCATATTTATACTTCAGCGGCTCCTTCCCGGACAAAAGCTCCAAAATCACACTCCAAAAGCGTATATGTCAGACTTCTGCGTCGCCAAGCCAGTGGATTTAAAGTCCAGCAACAGTATCCTCTCACTCCTTCAAATTACCTACCCCCATTCCCCAACCTCCGCAGCTCCGTCAATTCCTCTTTCGTTATCTAACCTCCTTCATATCTCTCCGTCTCGGAGCATAGCTCGGCGGCTTCGAAATGGCAAATTCGAGCATTCAAGGAAGGCTCGGTGATAATAATTCCACTGCTCTTCACGTACTGGTGGACCAAACTTATGCTAAATCTGGCTACGGTGTGGATATAATTCAAGCCGTAAGCTAAATCCATGGCGATTTGCATTCGCGACATCCAAGTTGAAAGAAAGGTGAAATCAGGGTTTCTTGGATTTCGTAGACAAGTAGAAAGATTGGAGCCGCTGATACATTTGTAAACTAAGTAAATGTGATTATTTGAAATGGAAGCTCCAAGGAGCTTGATTAAGCATTTATGTGGCTTTTACAAATAAACAATAATTTGGATCTCAGTCAGATTCGTGGATTGTTTGATGGATTTTCCGTTGGAAAATAATGACGTCCTTTCCGTTGAGCTCGCAACACCAGGACTGGGAGGAGGAGGAGGAGAAAGTGGAGTAGCGTTTGGCGAGAAAATTGTTGGCGACAGAACGGATTTCGGAGAAATCATAAATATAGGCGTGTTCCAGGAGGGAGAGATGGAGGCTGGAGAGGGATGTACGGCTTGAAGCGGAGGTGCCGCTGGTGGAGGGACTGGAGGAAGGAAGTTTAGCGAATGGAGAATTTGGGGACAGGCAGCAGGGAGATTGGGTTGCTTGAGGGGAGGTTCTGGGTTTGGTCTTGATGCCTGCGGTGGATGAAAAGGATCTGACAAAGATTTGAGGAGGGGGAGGAGGAAGAGGAACAATTTTTGAGAGAAGATGTTGAACTTCCTAAATTGACCCTAACTTTTATCTTGAAAATCGCGCAAACAGACATATTGGTAAACTTAACGGCCAAATATAACAGAATAGTCTCCCGTCTTAACTTTATATATTTCAGTGATCAAAACCAGACTTTTAATAGTTGAGTGACCAAAACTGAACGATGGCAAAAGTTTAATGGTCAACCAGATAATTTGCTCTAACTTCCTGGCAAATAAGTTCATTTGCTACCTTGTCGTCCCAAAATACTAAATTACTAAAAAATGAGAATAAAATAAGTAATATGTTTATTTGCTTGTTCTTACTTTTCAATCTTAAGGCAAGAATGAAACTAATCACAAGCATTGTCTACGTATTAAAGTTTAAAAATTTGTTCTCAAAATAAAATTCAATTGATAGAGACATTAATCAAATGAGATTACTGGTTCAACTCTCAAACCCTAGTTTAGGTTTCAAATGTTGAAACCTTTCCCTCGAATTCCTAGGCAATAACGATAATGATAAATATTTAATTTTGTCATTAAATTTGTCAATTTAGGCAAATTTCTCCTAAAACAATACTAAACTCTTTCTTTTCTTTATATATTTGGAAACGTTGTTTAGAACAAAAACAAAATAAAACTTAAAGTATTTCAGGAAAAAAAAAGACATAAGAAAGTTAAACTTAATTTATTAGCTTTTTAATGTATGATTCTTTTTTTATTTTGGTAAATTCAGCATCACTATCTTCCTTCTCACAGACACACCAAACTCCGGTACTCAGTGACAATCCCATTTCCCAAGACAAACATATTAAAAAAGAAAAATCTAACAATTAAAAAATGCTTTTTTCCCTTCGAATGATTACATATCCTCTTTTGTTACTATGCTGATTCTTAAACCTTAGGGAATTAGAGAAGGAACCAACTTCTGGAGTCTGTACAAATTGAAGGTGTTCACATAATATAATAGGACGCGTTCCTTTTCTCTCATTGTATTTTTCCGACAGCCAAATCATCCACAATCATAAACATTCCTAATCCTAAGCAACAATTTCCTTCCAATCCATCCTATATGATCTTTCCTTCCCTTGAAGGTGTATAGGGTTCTTGTTTTGGATCTCAACCTGTCCCTCTTCCTATACCATAAAAGCAAATCCAACCCATAAAGAATCCCATTTTTTCTGTCTCATCTTTCCTTACCTCATCTGGGTTTTGTCCCTCAATCCGACAGGTTTGTCTTATTTCCTTTAATTCTTGTAAAGTGATAGCTTTTGTTTAATTCTTGTAAAGTGATAGCTTTTGTATGTTTCTCGCAAAAAACTGAATCATGGGTTTTTTTTTAATTAATGCCAATGGTCATTGATTAAAGTTATCTTCTTTCTTCTTTTTTTTTTTTTTGGTTTTTACTTTTTTTCCTTTTTCACAATTTAATTTGCAGGATTGAAGTTCCTGAGCATCTCTGGTGCATGTTCTTGTTTTGAATTTAAGTTTTTAATCTGATTAATGAGGAAGAAGAGGAAAGGGAGTGAAATTTTAGGCCCAAAACAGATTGGGGCTTTCGAGGGATCCCATGATCTTAATTCATCGGTATCGAATTTACGATTTCATTACTCTTTAGAAGATTATTCAAGGTTGAAAAAGAGATGCAAGGAAGAGGGTGATGGTGGGGTCGGGGGTTGTGAAATTGTCAAGTCATGTAAAAGTACTAGGCTTGCTGGCATTGCTGCCACAGCGCCACCATGCGGGGCCTCGTCCATAGGGTTATCGGGTCGAGGGCTTAAGCGGAAGATAGGGTGTATAGATACCGCAACTCAAACTGGTAGGAAGAATAAGCTTGAGGATGATTATGAGTTGGTGGACAAGATTGGGAGAGGAAAATTTGGATCAGTTTGGTTGTGTAGGAGTAAGGTTACCGGGGTACAATTCGCATGTAAAACACTGAAGAAAGGTGAGGAGACTGTTCATAGAGAGGTGGAGATAATGCAGCATTTATCAGGCCATCCTGGTGTGGTGACATTGGAGGCAGTCTATGAGGATGATGAAAGTTTTCATTTGGTGATGGAACTATGTTCTGGTGGGAGGTTGATTGATCAGATGGCCAGGGAAGGCCTGTACTCTGAGCACCAGGCTGCTAATATATTTAAGGACTTGATGCTGGTAATCAAGTATTGCCATGAAATGGGGGTTGTGCATAGGGATATAAAGCCTGAAAACATTCTTCTAACTACTTTTGGAAAGATAAAGCTTGCAGATTTTGGCTTGGCTGTGAGGATTGCTAATGGTAAAATCTCATCTCCTTGAAAGAAATTACTCAATTTTTTCATTAGGATTTGCATTTATACACAGATACAGAAGTTTTCTTTTCTTCGTTGGCGCTTTATGCTTACTTTGTAGGATCATGTCTCTGTGTATTTTCTTGGTCTTATTTGTTTTGATTTCTGGTGATTGATCCCAAAAATGCTCTATGTTTCTAATTTTTACAGAATGTTACAGAAGTTTGATTTGCTGCTTTGGAAGTAGCTGAATTTACTTTGTCTTTCACAAATGCTTTTTTGGATTTAAGTTTGGATACCTGGAGGGATAAGGCAGCTTTTTATCTTGAATGTTAGCTCCATGAAACGACATGCTAGTGCAACATGGAAGAGTTTGAATCAAAGAATGAATCACCATTTACCTACTTGTGTGCAACCTTAACCTTATGGCAATTTTGTGGATCAA